CGGGCACTGAGCACTCGCACCCCCTTGCTCCGTCCAGAGCTCGCAGCTGCCCGGCGGCGGCCGCAGCCCCGAAAGGGAGGCCGCGCCCAGGGAGCCGCGGGGCTCCTCGTCTCCTGTCCGATCCCCTCTGAACTCCTTCTTCCACAGGTGTTAGCCACCCCTCCTCCTTTCCCATGGTCTTGAGCTCTCCTGCCTCCTGCACAGCTGCTGTCTGCCCGCTGCTCCCGGTGACCCTTCACCGCCCTGCAGACTGGGTTAACCCTAGCTAAAAACATTCACGCAGGTGAACACACTCAGGTGTGGGAATCACTTTCAATGAAGCTGTCCGGGCACTGTCCAGATGCTCAGGAAGGCTTGCTTTTGTTCTGTGCACCTGAAAGAGATGCACATTTAACTATAATGACTCTAGGACTAATGAAGCAGCAGCATCTTTGGAGTATTTGTGCCTAGTTTGTTGTTTCTATATATAATATATGATATAGCGGATGAATGCACGTTGACAATAAAGATTTTTGTTTTTTATGATTCCATCTTAAATTGAATGATATCGCTTTAGGCCCCTCTCTATTAGTGAAGCTTCTAGTTTCCTTTTGACTGAAGAAAAATGTGTGCTGTTATATGGGATGATGCACCACATCATCTGCACCCCCCCTCTTCAAAATCCTAGATCCACCCATGCTGGGAGCTACCCAGCCACTTCCCACAGCTCATGGGACATCAGGACTTCAATTGTTCCCAGCTATTCCAAACACTTCCTGAATTATAACGCTGCCCCTGCTTCCTGAAAGCTTTAATTAAGAACCCCCCATCCTCCCCTTAGGAGCTGGGAATTACTGAGAATTATGGCACTTGTCATTCATTCCCCCTACTTACATGTCATGGCCCGGCTCCTAACCAGAGCTAAACTAGCGATGAGTCAAGTTCTGGGAGCCCATCAGATACACCTCAATAGGGCAAAGCAAGTGTCCTTAGCAGTCTGAAAACTGGTCCCACTCAGATGTAACTCATGAGCATAGGACACTTAAGGATCCTCAAATCACTAGTCACTCTTGAATGCTTAAACCATATTTTGGTCTGTGTTGTGGGGCAAGTTTCAGACCTCTTTAAGATCAGTAGAGCCTGCACTCTCCAGTCAGGTATGAGTCTGTGGAGTGCTGTGCCCCACCTAGCCTTTTCTGAGAATATATCCACTATTTCCCTCTCACTGCAGTGGCAGGGTATTGGCAACGCCCTTGTTTTCCCTGCATTTACTTGTGACGTTATGAAACATCAAGAACACCCTATATAATGCCTCTTTATAGTTGCAGGGGAGGGTCTGAAGCAGTGACTTTAGGGATTCCTTTGATTAATGCTTGCCTGTGAATGCAGGGCATTGGACTTGACAGCCCTGTTCTTATATTCCTGTCTGTAACCATATCCTTTTTACCGCCAGCTGCCTATAAGAATGGAAGTGCTGGACCACAATACAACAGATGCTGTAAGAAAAAGTAGCAAATGACAGGAAAACAAAATGTTTGCTTGTTTGTTATTTTAAATGAAAATTTCAGGCTGTGTTTGACAAAATTATTAATTTAGAGAAAAAAATGCCAACTCCAGTACCAAAATTTATATTGCATTTTCCCCCCTGTGGTCTGGCTCTGTAATGTTACTTCAGTGATATAACAGGGGAGGAAATAGCCACAATATGAAATGGTACCTCCAGGGAGCTGCTGGAACTGCTGCATTGGCTCCCTGTGTAGAGGACATGACCAAATTTTGTGATGCCCTGGCTGTTCATACCTGGCAGAGGCTCCTTTGGGGCTCTGCAGGCAAAGCATAGGTTAAAGTAGTTCTGAGGGTTTCATTTTTTCCAGATGCCTTATCTGTCCTTAGAGGATAACGCAGGAAAACCAGGACTTGAAGGGCTAAATTTGTCTTCATCCCAACCCTTAGTCCCTGCTCTGAGCATAAGAACAGAACAAAGAATTGGGATCAAGTATTAATTTTTTTGTTAGTGGAAGTTGCATCGATTGGGAGTATTGACACAATGAAAGAGGTTAGGTAAATAATACCTGCAGCATTACAAAAGTCAGCATAGCCTAAGGTCTGAACTGCAGCACCAACTGCTATACCAGTCCTCTGCCAGTCAGATCTAATTGTGTAGCTATTCTGTGGTGAAGAGTGGACTCTTGACCTGGGCTAGGGACAGACATTCAAAAAGCACGAGTCTGAATTGATTCAATCTTTTCAGGTTAGTCTAACATGCAAAGACTAAACTGATTTGTAAGTGAATAGACATTCACTTTTGAGACAGGCAATGCAGGCAGGCACATGCCTGCAGTGACTCAAGCTAGAAGCCAAGGGAAGGGGGGAGGCATGCTAGAGCAACCCTCCCTTCCCTTCCTCAGCAGCTGCAAGGCTGGAAGGAAGCTGACCTGGGGGCTGTGGCCAGGCCCCTGGCAAGCAGCTAAGTATGTTTGGGGAGGGGTTTAAACTCCCCCCCCAGCCAATAGGGACCGCAGCCAGGGTGTGCCTGGAGGGAGAGGGGGGTAGCAGCCTTTGCCAGGCTTGTCCCTGAGGCCAGACATCAGCTCAGGCAGCATTTCAGGCAAAGGGGGGGCAGAGGCAGGAATTAAAATCCCGTCTCCCCTCTTGTCATGGGCACTGGGACCCCCCTTGGCTTTCCCCCCTCACAGCTCACGTGGTGGGGAGCTTGGCCAGAGCCAGATGGCATGGCCATGCTATCCACCCAGGGTTGTGGCTGGGGCTGAGTTGGGCTGGCCTGTGGGCGCTGCTAAGGACGGACACAGCAGGGCCAGCCTGGGCTGGGCCGTGGGAGCCAGGCACTTCCCAACAGGCTGCGGCTTAGGTTGGGGCCACAGGGGCTGTATGGCCAGATTGCTCTTGGCTCCTCACACCCAGGCTGGGCAGGGCTGTCATGGAGCTGCAGCCAGCTGGGAAGAGCCCAGCAGGGCTGGCCTTCATCAGGCTTCAGCCCTTCCCTGCCAGCTGTGGCTCTATGACAGCTGGGCCCAGCAGCACGGGCAGCAGCTGGCTGGGCAGCGGGTTGCTCAGGCTGGAGCAGAGGTGCCAACAGTCCCCGAGCCTAGCAGCCACTTCTGCGCCCCCTGTCCTTTGCAGCACCTGGCGGCTGCAGCTGTACCACAAGCTGTACGCTAGCCGAAGCTAGCAGGGCTGTTCTGCCTCCCTTGCCTCCAGCTGCCCCTACCCCTGCCCCTGCTGTGCCACTCTGGATGGGTGGGTGGGAAGCTTGAGCCTGGTGGCTTCTGCCCAGCGCGTGGAGCTCTGGCTTCAGCTCTCAGACACCTTCCACCTGCTCTGGCCGCCCAGCATGATGAGCAGCCCTTGCGGGCAGGTGGAGCAGGTGGAAAGCATTAGGGAGCTGGAGCCAGAGCTCCATGCGCTGGGCAGAAACCGCTGGGCTTAAGCTTCCACCCACCCAGAGTGGCGTTGCACAGCTCAGCAGAAGCAGGAACCTCAAGGAGCTGAACAGGACAGCCCTGCTGGATCCAGCCAGCGTACAGCTTCCCCTTGCCTCCAGTGGCTCCTCCTTCTCCCACTCCTGACCCTGCTGCACCACTCTGGGCGACGGTGGGGACAGAAGGCGGGGAAAGTTTCAGCCATGGGCAACTGGTGCCACCTTAGTCAGGGGGGCATGTGCCCCCCAAGTAACCAGTCAGTGACCAGGGTGAGGGGTCCCCCTGCAGCCAATCAGAAAGCAGCTGCAGTGCTCCCAGAGGTGGCCATGGTGCTGCTTCTGGTGATCTCACTCCCCAGCCAGCACTCACAGGGGTGGCACTGGCACTCCTACCTGCCCCCCTGCCCATCGCCTAAGCGGGGAGTGCAGCATGTCAGGGGGTGCACCCACAGTCTCAGGGGGTGCATGTGCACCCCCTACACATCACCACTGGCTTCAGCCCAATGCATGGAGATCTGGCTCCAGCTCCCTGATGCCTTTCACCCACTCCACCCACCTGCAGGGGCTGCTCATCATACCAGGCAGGTGGAAGGCAGCCAGAGCTGGAGCCAGATCACCATGTCCCATCTCCCCACTCCCCCTTCCTCCCCCCACACTGCCTGGAGCAGAGCAGCAGGGGTAGAAGTGGGAGAAGGAAAAGCTGCTCAAGGCAAGCACTAGCTGCACACTGGCTGGGCCTGGTAGGGCTGTTCTGCTCCCCTCACTTCCAGCTGCAGTTCCTACTCCTGCTGTGCTGCGCAGCACCGCCCTGGGTGGGTGGAAGCTTGAACGCATTGGCTTCTGCCCAGTGCATGTAGCTCTGGCTCCAGCTCCAAGACACTTTTCCCTTGCTCCACCCTTCCTCAGGGACTGCTCATTGTGCCGAGTGGGCAGAGCGGGTGGAAGGTGTCCGGGTGCTGGAATCAGAGCTGCATGCACTGGGCAGAAGCTGGTGGGCTCAAGCTTCCTGTCCACCCACCCAGAGTGGCCCAGCAGGGGCGGAGCAGCAGTGGCAGCTGGAGGCAGGGGAAGCAGAACAGCTTCACCAGCCCCAGGTAGCGTGCAGCTGGTGGTGCTGCACAGGGCAGGGGGCGTGCTGGTGGTTGCGACAGGCGCCTGCCAGGCTCAGGGCCTGCCAGCACCTCCGAGCCAGCCCAGGCAGCCTGTTGCCTGGCCAGTTGGTGTTCGTGCCACTAGGCCCTGCCCCTATGGCTCTGCCCAGGCTGACCCCACCAGGCCCTTCCTGTGGCTCCATGACAGCCCTACCCGGGCTGCGTGCAGGGAGCTGAGAGCAAGCCCCCACGGCCCCAGCCCAATCTGCAGCCTGCTGGAAAGGGCCCAGTCTCCACGGTCCAGCCTGGGCTGACCCCTCTGTGTCCGCCCTCAGCAGCACTCGCAGGCTGGCCCAGCTCAGCCCCACAGCCCTAGCCCCAGATGTGGACGAGGCAGGTGGCTGGCAGGGTCATGCCAGCTGGTTCTGACCACGCTCCCGCCCCTGCCACTGGAGTGGGGAGGTGGGAAATGCTGTTCTGCCCCAGCCAGGCAGGCCCCAGCTGCCGGTGAGACAGGGGACGGAGGGGGAGATTAAATCCCTCTCCCTCTCCCCATTTGCTCCAGGCTGTGGGGGGTTGGGGGGAGCTGGCTAGGGACATAGGCTAGGGGCAGACATTCAAAAAGCCTGAGCTTGAATTGATTTGCAGGTTAGTCTAACCTGGCTAGGGCGAACTGGTTTGCATATGCATAGACATTCCCTCTGGACTGAGAAAATGCAGGCACATACCTGCAGTGGCTCAGGCAAAAGCCGGGGTGGTGCTAGAGCAGTCCTCCCTTCCCTTCCACAGTGCTGAGCTGAGGGGGGGGCATGGCCAGGCCTCGGCAGGATGCTCTGATTAGGGGATGGGGGCGTTCTTCCTCCTCGCTGCTCCTGACCAGAGAGGGAGCCATTAGCACCCTATCAAGAAAACAAAAGCCTCTGTCATCAGTTCAAGCTCTTCTTAAACAGCATTTTCCAAGGAAGGAATGGAGGGACAGTACCACCTGACCTGTTGATTAGCTCCAAAAAGCCCTAAGTGGACACTGTCCTGTCTGCCTTTGTCCTGTCTGTGTTACACAGACGCCTCTCAGCATTACCTAGCAGACCAGTGCTGGCTACAGCCCTGCTGTGGGAGATGGGAGTGGTGGGGAATCCCTGCTTGAGATGGGAGTGGTGAAGGGGGCGGGGCATGGGGAAGCCAGGCAGATTTGCTGTGCCTGCAGTCCCTGCAGGAGCTCCAGCCAGGGAGCAGAGAGCACCCCCCCCCCCGGGCTGCAAAGCATCTGGGATGCTGGGGGACTCTGGTTTAAGTTAAACCAGGAAGGTGTCTGGGACAGACATTGCATAAACCGGTTTAACCCAAATTAGCTAAGTCTGATACTACATTCAACCAGGTTTATCTCAACCCGGTTTCAGCCATTTTCAAACTGGTTTATGTGCAGGTTCTGTTACAGGTTTAAACCAGTTTCTGATCACTTAAACTGGTTTATGTGTAATGTCTGTCCTTTTAGATGGGACCTACCAAATTTCCCTAAACTTAGTAATGTGAGAATTTGAGGAGATGAGGGCAGATATAAAAAAATCAAATGCAGGGATATACCACCTGTCACTGAGCCCCCATATAGCATGGGAAATGAGTCCATAGCAAGCTGGATTTTAATCAAAGGTCATAAACCATTAGTGCCCATAAAGTTAATGAGAATTATAACAGAATTTGATTGAATCAGCTGCTGTATTCACAGCAGGACCGCATGTACTTAACTGAGTTTGCAGCTGAAAATTAATGGCCTGTCCATTTTATGCCAGGCTTTTTGTTCTTACTGAACAAATATTGTTTCTCATTATCTACATAATGTGTACAAAAAGTGATTAAAACAGAGTAGGTAACTGCACAGACAGTGGTTTTTTGGCATGTGGTCAGCCTGGCAAAATTAATACAAATAAGATTTTAAAATGTACAGAATGAATAGAAATGTAAATATAGCCTTCCTTGAGAAATAACTTTTAATGCTTAGTGTCATGAAAAGCTAAATGTCAGCACTGCCTGTTAATCACAGACTATCTAAACCTTTACACAGTGACTGAGGAAAAATTTCCATAGTCTCCATAATTTTTTCCCAATAGTCTATTTAAAGTAAAAGTATTTTTAAATAAAACAAACCAATGATACAGCATCTGTGTAGCATGCTGAAAAAAGATCATATTCCAGTGAGTTCCTGCACTATGCTGCATCTCAGCATTTAGAAGACACCGGTAATTTGGAGAAGTATATGTTGACTCTATTGGTATTATTAATATTGCCCCCAGGCCCCTAGAAGCTATCTAGTCTAGATGGGATCTTATATTGCACTCATAACCATAGTTTCTGATTGCCAACCAGTTGTAGATTAGGCAATGTGACCAACTTCCCTCACATTTATTCTCTTATTCTCAGCAGGGCAAGAAACACATGCAGCAGAGTGCTTGTTTCTCCAGGATTTTTACCTCTTTGTTGCTCCTGCTGTCTTTTTTTTTTCTTTTCAAATAAAAATGCCTGTGATGTATGCTAAAGAAGGCAGGTCAAAGAAACATGCTTTGCATTTGGAGCAGAAGGTGGTAAGGTTTGTGATGACTATTTCCCAGTGGAGTTCATTGCACAGTCTTCAATGAGCTCCTGAGAAAGCTCTGTTTGATTTGGGACTCTATTGTGCTGAGTATTACACCAACATAGATGAGAAGATAGTTTCTGGTCCAGAAAACTTTAGGCTTTTATCAGAAAGAAATACAGAGGGCAGGAGAGTAGCCATGACATGTACACTGAGAATCCTAGTCAGACTTTTTAACAAGACTGCTCAGCTCATCCTTTTTTCCCTACTTCTTGTGTCTTTTGTGTCTCTCATAAGCTCTTTACAAATGTTAATTCATTGTTTACAAACACTTCTCCCAAGTAGATAGTTTGTTTTATTATCCCAGTTTTACAGAAATGGAAAATGGAGGCATGGAACGTTAAATTGCTTGATCAATGTCATAGATCATGTTAAAGACCCCGTCCGCAGGCCCTTCTGTGGGCCCTTCTGTTACCACTAGATGACCCTTCCATCCTAATTTCTCTCCAGCAGACTAAAGAAGGCCTAGTATCCTGCATGATGCATTACACCTAAACTATTAAGCTGGGGCTAAGAGGAGTTGGATCTCCATGTCAGCTGCCCTCTACAGCAAGTAGCTCTCTAACTGCATTTCATCCCAGTGGCTGCCCATTCATTCAAGAATGGAAACAAACCCCTACATTTCTGCTAAAATGTTCAGCATGACATAGTGAACTAAGCTGAGATGAATGCAAGGCCTCACATCTCTCAGAGAGGACACCACCACATTATTTTTTCATTCACTTTGCTTATCTTGCAATCATATGATCTGGAGGCTCCTTATTTTTACAGAGTTTAGTACCTGGAGCACAACTATGCTGCAGTTTAAAAGTAATCCACACTTATACAGCAATTTGCCTGTCCACATAATTACACAGTCAACAGGAGCTGGATTATTTGATAACATTTATCTAGTGAAAAGAAGATACGGGGAATATGTTTAGCTCAGTTATTAGTATTGGTAAAACAGCCTAAAAATGGAGACAGTCAGCAAAAAGAAAAGGGTCATAAGATCAAGTCTAATATCTGTTCCACTTATTAACTCAGCTACTCATTCCTCTCTGTTCACAAGCTTACAGGGTGGATCAAAAACAGAACATGAGGCAAACAAGTCTTATAACACTACAGAAAGCTATAAATAAAGTGCAAGCAATTAAGTCAGGATAATTTTGTCTAAAGCATCAGTATGCTGATATAAATACTTTCTAACAAGAAAAGAGATGCTTTAGTATCACATATGTCTAGGACTAAACTTAGTGTTGTTTCTTGTAATAGTCAAAAGATAGTAGGGCAAAGAGCAAGGCTGTCTAGGGAAGTCAAAACTTATGCTAGACTTCAGGGAAAATATGTAACATTGAGAGCACTGAAGAGTGGAAGGAATTTTCCCCAAGGAGGTATAGCCAGTGCAGAGAATTAAGGAGTGTTTAAGTAAAATGTTAGAGGCAATGTGAGGATGAGTACCGAGATGCAGAAGGTTTCACTGGATAGGCCCTAGCTCTCCTTTCCAGTTGTGCAATGAGTGTTAACAGGCATGTGAAACTGTACTCAGCACCTATTAATAGTAACTTCCCTCCACCAGTGATTTACTTGTGAAGTTCCCAGGTGATGGAAGGAAGACACAGAGATGTATCTAAGCTGCAAACAGAGACCAAGAGCATCATACTGATAAGGTTCCTTGGGTGAATTTGATATCTTTTATTAGACCAACCCAAATGGTTGGAGAATAGTTATTAAGCAAGCTTTCGGGTTCAAAAACCCTTCGTCCTTGAACCTGAAAGCTTGCTTAATAACTATTCTCCAACCATTTGGGTTGGTCTAATAAAAGATATCAAATTCACCCAAGGAACCTTGTCTGCCTATATCCTTAGACCAACACGGCTACAACCGAAACCCCTCATACTGATAACACACTGCAGTGAAATATAGAAGGAGAAAACTGCATTCCCTAGCTAGGAAGTTTTTGCCTATTTAGAACCAAGGAAGGGAGAGTTTAGAGGGTTTGAAGAATTCCCCTCTATAAATCATGCATGGCTCCACTATGTTAACATAGGCCTGTGTTCAGAACCAGCTGACAAGAAATGGCTGCAATAGAATCATAGAAAATGAGGGTTGGAAGGGACCTCAGGAGGTCACATCTAGTCCAACCCCCTGCTCACCCCCATCCCCAACTAGATGCTTTCCTGTAAGTAAACTGCATGTGCAATTATTATGATTATGTTCACACTTGTAATTCCATACACACAGCCAGAGAGATGCCTGCTTGGTTGTATGTCTATCACATGTATATCTATATGGTTGATATATATCTATATCTATATCCCAACTCTTTAGGCAGTTTAAGCACACATTTTTGCATGCTGAAAACTTGGGTCCCAGTTTATCAGACCTGCTCTTTCCAAGTCGTGTTACTAATTTGTTTTCAATTATGAGGCCAGAAAAATGAATCTATCATTGTTTGCCTGTTTTCTAGGTCATGCATTGCTGGTCCTCCTGCTGTCTGCAACAGTCTCTCTCCTGGGTGGATTGATATTTGGATATGAGCTGGGGATTATCTCTGGTGCTTTACTGCAGCTGCAGATGGACTTCCAACTTAGCTGCTTCAAACAGGAAGTCCTTGTGAGCTCCATGCTCACTGGGGCTCTCCTTGCTTCCTTGGTTGGGGGCATCCTCATTGACCGTCATGGAAGGAGGAGAGCAATCCTGGTTAGCAACCTGGTCTTGTTTTGTGGCAGCCTTATTCTGACACTGGCTGGGTCATTTATGTGGCTGGTATTTGGACGTATGACCATAGGGTTTTCCATTTCTGTGTCATCCATGGCATGCTGTATATATGTCTCAGAAATGGTGGCTGCTCATCAGCGAGGGCTGCTGGTGTCTCTCTATGAAGCTGGCATCACGGTGGGCATCTTAGCTTCATATGCACTGAACTACATATTCTCAGAAATGGCTGAAGGATGGAGATACATGTTTGGACTGGCTATTGCACCTGCTGTAATACAGTTTCTCAGTATCCTCTTCCTCCCAGTTAACCCCATTAAATTCAACTCAGGTGACTGCGACTCCCAGAAGGGCCTCATTCAATTACATGAAGATGGAGAGGAAGCAAAACTAGAACCACATAAGGAAAAGCCTTATTCATTTCTTGACCTTTTTAGGTCTCGAGACAACATGAGAAACAGGACTCTGGTTGGCCTGGGCTTGGTGCTCTTTCAGCAGTTCACTGGGCAGCCCAATGTCCTGTGCTATGCTTCCAAAATCTTCCGCTCAGTGGGATTCCAGAGCAATTCTTCTGCT